ACTCTGGCTGCACTTCGTCCAACACAGATCTGTTGGTTCTTTTGGCAGCCCATGGTACTTTCAATATTCTCCTCCAACACCATAACTCAAAAGCATCAATTCTTCTACGGTCTTCCTTATTCACTGTCCAGCTTTCACATGCATATAAGGCTATTGAAAATACCATGGCTTGGGTCAGGCGCACCTTAGTCCTCAAGCTGACATGCTTGCCCTTCAACACTTTAAAAAGGTCTTGTGCAGCAGATTTTCCTAATGCAATACGTCGTTTGATTTCTTGACCGCTGCTTCCAGACATTTCATCCGGAAAGCTCATCCTCTTCCAGACGAAGACAGACTAGGATAGGAAGAAGATGAGCTTCCAGACAAAATGTCTGGGTAGGACTACGCAAATGTGGTACACAATCCCCCAAGAAGATTGGATTGCTAACAATGTAAATAAGGTGCATGGCATGCATGTGGGGTAGGACCATACAAATAAGGTATTTGTAACTCTTACTTGGTAACTGTTCAGTTTTCTCATCCCAGTAAGTTTAAAATGAGTCATCTTAGAAGTGGAAAAGGAGATCCTACTACCAACAAGAAGAACTAGGATTGGAGCCAGGCCTTTGAGTTCCTGTGTTGAAGCAGGAGACAGAGAACTGTGACACCAGAAAAGCAGCAGAGAAATAGCGGCAGAGGAAACAGCAGCACCAAAAACATAACACAGAGCAGTGGACTTCCTGGTCCACAGTCCAAGAAAGCTGAGTGCCTCCAGATGACTAGCTTTTGAAGTGTGGTGTCTCCAGGGCATTTATCTGGAGTGCTAGGTTTGCTGACCCACAGAGCTAGAGCTGAGTGCCTTCAAGGCTGAGAATACTGGTAGAGTGTCTTTTGGGTATTTATCTAAAAAGTTAAAAGTTTGTAACACTACTCAAACAGGGCAGAGGCCCAGAGGCTATGTGGCTGAAAAGTCAAGGCCCAGAGAGAAGCAGGACTATAGGCAAGGCTGAGAAGAGGTGATCCTGACCAAGGAATTGTTGTATACTATGCATTTCTGATCCTGAATTGTAACCTGTTAATTCTCTAATTGAACAAGAATGGTGAAAGAACACAACCCTGACACACACCTTTCCCAATTTTAAAACATTGTGTTCCCATGCTCTGTTCGAACAACTGCCTCTTGGTCCAGGTACAGATTTCGCAGAAGTACAATTAAGTGTTCTGGAATACTCATACTTCTCAATGTTGTCCATAGCTTGTCATGATCCACACAATC